CAAAGTGTTGAAATTAACAAAGGGCAATAACTCCAAAATTAGGGACAAAAAGAGTATTGGTCTTATGCACTGCACATCTACCCATTGAGATCTATTCACCTTCTAACAAAGTTTCATGTTGATATCTCTTATAGTTTTAGAAGTTATGCCCCGGACAGAGATTTTTCTATAAGGGGAGATAATTCAAAAACCGGGCAAAATAGAGTTATGGTTCTTTGACACTGCACTCCCCCTCAATGCCCTCTACCACTGTATGAAGTTTAAACAAATTATCTCCAAGGGTTTTCAAGTTATGCTCCGGACAAGAAAACGGACAGACGGACAAGGCGCCGACTATATGCTCCCCCGAAATTTTTCGGGGAGCATAAAAAAATGTTATTTTATAAATATATTGGTCAATCACAGCACTTGTTTCATATGTTTAAAGAGTACTTAAAGACGTTTTCCGGAGTTTTCATATAGACCTATAGGCAAAATTAAAACTGTTCAATAGAATTTCATGAAAATTGGCATTTTATTAAGACTATAACAGAAACATTTTAAACGGGGTCACCGTTCTCATTTTCGAGTTATCTGCCCTTGAATTGGACTTTTTCATAAAGCTTACTTTTGCCTTAGTCAATATGCAAAATTTCAAGTACAAATTTAAAGTGGATATTTTTTTCCAACTTCTTCCCTTAACCTGTGCATTTTTTCTTTAAAAATTGACCTATTTTTTATGAATTTAAAGTACATTTATTTTTATTGAAAAAAAATTAACAGAAACGATATAAGGAATTGAATGTTATTATGTACTGTATTCAACAATAAAAAGAAAAAAAATTATCCAGAAGTAAAAACAAGAATTCATTTAAGTATGTATAAGTTATATGCTATTTAACTGACCTCAAATAAGTAGAAAACCAATTCAGGGGCAGATAACTCAAAAATGAGAATGGTGACCCCATTTTTTTTTCGGCTTACAATGTTTCTGTTATCATATTCTAACAACATGCCAAGTTTAAAGAAATTCTATAGAACAGTTTTAATTTTGCCTATATGTCTATATGAAAACTGCCGAAAACTTTCTTAAGGAATTTGTTCCAAGTAAATAGCAACCATTGAAATAAAATGAATTTTCAATTAAGGATTTCTTTTGTCATTTCAAGTTCAAGTAGGTTAAACTGAAAATAAATGCTATAAACATTATTCTTTATGTAATGATCTGATGCTTACAAATGATAAATTGAAAGTTTAAGTCTATATTTTGACAGAAGACATAATTTGACCGAGGTATATAAAGCAAAATAATTATATGGTATGTTATATACAAGTATTTAGTAGAGATCACTGAAATAGGTACATCTGATTGTAAGGAAATAACTTCATCAGTAACCAGCTGCCATTATATTACCTATTCATTTTCAAAGAAATGAGACTATTATCTACTATTCTAACACGACCCACATTTTTCCCTATTGAACATAGAAGAACAGAAAGTGTGTGTTATTATGCAACAGATGCACAGTTTGACGTTCTATTTTTATACATGTGACATAATCATTATACACGTGGCGTAACCACTAAAAATCCGACGCGCTGAAAATAAGTTCGGAAACAAATCAGGCGCAATTTTGCTTAACTATCAAGTACGGCAACATTTATTTGTTGACGTCGTGTTAGAATCGAAATAATATATCCAAAATCAGTGATTTTATCGCTTGATAACATCACTGTTTGTCGTTCGGATGCGCATCATTATATCACTCTGGCTACGCCCTTGTGATATAATTCCGCGCATCCGAACTCCAAACAGTGACGTTATTGAGCGATAAAATCACTGTTTGGGATATATTATTTCTTAAGTAATACCTACAAAACCATAATGCTAATCAGCTAAATATGTCAATCAGTACAGAAATATTTCATTTCAAAAAGGTACACATGCATAATGGAATATAGATATATTAATCCTAACATATGAAAGAAACACAATATACATGAATGTTATAAATGGCCTAAATGAAATACATGGTATAGCCTTCTTCTAGTAGAAATGAGATCTTTTGTTATTATTCTGAGACAGACATGTGTTTTATTATTTGCCAATCAATGAAATACTTGATTACATCAGTGAAATATGAGTTATATCATCCACTCTCTATACAGCTTAGTGAAATACTAAAAAATAAAATACATTTTCATTAGTTAGGATAAAATATGAACATATTTGTGTTTTGGTACAATTAGATATACATTTGTATCTTTTATATCTTTCATTAAAGTTTATTATTTGCTATTTCAATCGAAACAGGCACTAGTGAAAATATAACAAGAGGGCCATGATGGCCCTAGATCGCTCACCTGAATTATCAAACTCATCCAAACAATTACCTAGACAAGCATTCTGACCAAGTCTCATGACAGGTGAGTCAAAAATGTGACCACTACAGTGTTAACAAGGATTATCCATATTTGAGCAGTGCGACCTAGTTTTTTTACCCAGGTGACACATATTCAAACTTGACCTAGAAATCATCAAAAAAAACTTTCAGACCAATTTCCAGGATACTTTGGATCAAAATAGTAGCAACTAGAGTGTTAACAAGATTTTTCTATTTTTAGCTCCGGTGACCTAGTTTTCACATGCGATTTCGAACTCATCCAAGCAATTACCTAGACAAACATCCTGACCAAGTTTGATGATAATTGAGTCGAAAATGTGACCAATAGAATGTTAACAAGGTTTTTCCATATTTGGGCGGTGTGACCTAGTTTTTCATCCAAGATGACCCATGTTCGATCTTGACTTAGAAATCATCAAAAACAAACTTTCAGACCAATTAACAGAATATTTGGATCACAACAGTAGCCACTAGAGTGTTAACAAGATTTTTTCTATTTTTAGCTCCTGTGACCTAGTTTTTCATCCGAAATGTCCCATGTTCGATTTATTCCCAGCAATGACCTAGACAAGTTTCCTGACCAAGTTTGATGACAATTGAGTCAAAATTGTGACCACTAGAGTGTTAACAAGGTTTTTCTATTTTTAGCTCCTGTGACCTAGTTTTTCATCCGAGATGACCCATGTTCGAACTCATCCGAGCTATCACCTAGACAAGCATCTTGATCAAGTTTGATGATGATTGATGCAAAAATGTGACCGCTAAAGTGTTAACAAGGTTTTTCTATTTTTAGCTCTGGTGACCTACTTTTTTCATCCGAGATGACCCATGTTCGAACTCATCCAAGCTATCAACTAGATAAGCATCCTGACCAAGTTTGATGATGATTGATGCAAAAATGTGACCACTAGAGTGTTCACAAGGTTTTTCTATTTATAGCTCCGGTGACCTAGTTTTTCATCCGAGATGACCCATATTCGAACTCATCCGAGCTATTATCTAAACAAGCATCCTGACAAAGTTTGATGATGATTGGGTCAAAAATGTGACCACTAGAGTGTTCACAAGGTTTTTCTATTTTTTAGCTCCTGTGACCTAGTTTTTCATCAGAGATGACCCATGTTCGAACTCATCCAAGCAATTGACTAGACAAGCATTCTGACCAAGTTTGATGATGATTGGTTCAAAAATGTGACCACTAGAGTGTTCACAAGGTTTTTCTATTTATAGCTCCTGTGACCTACTTTTTCATCCGAGATGACCCATGTTCGAACTCATCCAAGCTATCACCTAGACAAACATCCTGACCAAGTTTGATGATGATTGGGTCAAAAATGTGACCTCTAGAGTGTTCACAAGGTTTTTCTATTTTTTAGCTCTTGTGACCTAGTTTTTCATCCGAGATGACCCATGTTTCGAACTCATCCGAGCTTTCAACTAGATAAGCATCCTGACCAAGTTTGATGATGATTGAGGCAAAAATGCGACCGCTAGAGTGTTCACAAGTAATTGTGGACGGCCGGACGGACGACGGACGACGGACATTCACCGATCCTAAAAGCTCACCCTGAGCAAGCTCAGGTGAGCTAAAAAATTGCCACTTTTCAATGAGATATATTGCATACATTCATAATGAAGAAATATTCTGTTACTAAGTTTAAATAAAACTAGATATATGAAGGCTTATGGCACTCCGAATAATATAAAATTGAATGCTACATAGAACATCTATTTCCATTATTGTTAATTAATGTAGGCCTTACAACTGCTAATAATCATAGTCTGTATATACCTCATGGGAAGTCACAGACACATTGACTAGTAATTGGTAGGATTTTCAAACATACATGAATTTTAAGATAAATACAGCAACTTTTCAGCTTTACTGTACTGGTGGATCAAAGACTGGTAATATTTTATGCACGTGCAGGCAAATTAGTGAACCAGTAAATTGCAGGCTAATTTCTGTACATGAACAAAGTCAATGTGTTGTCTGAAACGGAATTTAACTGTCAAAGGTACAAGTAATTCAAAATAGATGACCTCAACCACTTGAATATGGACGCCATTATGAATCATAATTATCAATGACATTAAAATAAATCTCTATTAATATCATACACTAACATGTTGCAAAAAAAAAACAAACATCAAAAAACTCAGATATACATGTATATAAGTCAAACACATTTCACTCATGCAAGAAAAACTTGCTTTGTAAAAGTACATTATAATTACAATCAAAGCACAATTTAACTGTAACTTACTATATCTTATGTATAAATCATAATAAAAACGCAAGACACAGATTAGTGTTATATATTACTGTCAAATTTGGCACCATTACACTAGCTATGTTGCATGGCAAAGTTATAATTTAGCATTAACTTCATACACTGTTGCCTGGCTTCACTAGTATACTGTCTGTCCATCTAAATATATGAAGACCTATTCTTAGACTAATCATTAAAATTTATACTAGCACTATCACCTGGTTATGAAACACTGGTCACATTCTGATTTAATTGAGGATGAGCTGGGTAACTGTTTAATCATAGGCTGAACAACATGTGGAATGTAGTGTCCCCACTGTTAATGTAGTGGTCAGTCACTAGTTTGTTTGGTTGTACATGTTGTATCATACAAGATTTTCACTTATCAACTTTTGACAGAAGATTGTCACATATTTCTGTTTAGTTCCTTATTCTCCACAGTCTGGAAGAAAAAAATTCATTAAAATATAGAGCACAAAAAGAAAACATATCTGCTGTATATAATAATAAACACTATTTATTAAAGTAAAATCAGAATTTTAACACAACAGGATTCCTAGTACAACTCCTCACCTGACAGAACTTACAATTCAGAAATTTTGTCATCAGTATCAATGCATTGTAACCAGGCTCTATACTGCTGGTAGTTCTTTGATATTAAAATCCCTTAAATTTCAATGATATGTATAGACTTTCATGCCATAGGCAAGAGGGCCATCATGGCCCTAGATTGCTCACCTGAGATTCTTAGCTAGAAATTCTTATAACTCTTAAAAGTCCAGAAGTAGGTTATTGGAACATATTTTGGCATATGTTTAAAGAAATTGCATGATATACAAAAAATATAACACTAACAAAAGCTCACATCTAGGCACTGTGCTCAGGTGAGCTAAAAAGAACAAAGTGAAGGGTAAGAGCAATCTTTTATAGAGATGTCTGTTAAACATACAAACCTTTCTTTCTATGGCTGTCTCCAGATTTCCTATTTTGATGTTTGTTATTTTAATGTGAGCATCAAATTTATTCTGTATGGAGTCCCGCTGGTGTATTAATTTTTCAATCTCTGTCTTGTTCCTATATAATGACAAAAAAGTCATCTTAGTAAATATATGAAATACTAGTTAAACAGAAATGGTTCGAAACAAAGTCTTAAAACAAATGAAATTGGAGCGAAATTTCCTGAAAAATATGACCATGAAGGTCAAGGTTATTTAGGAGTCAAGGTAATATTTAGATATGCCTATGCATCTTACTCTATAAGTCTTTCAATAGCATGGGCAGTGCTATTATATTTTTGGAACACACAGAGATGAAGAAAACTTTCAAAAATTAAAAGACCTGTTCTTAATGTTATGAATACTGACAAATTGGTTTAACACACTTAAAAAAAAACAAAACAAAAAACACATTATTAAAAGATAAATGGTCATATATTTGAAAGTTATGTTTTTGATGGTCATATAGAAAATCATGAAATTCCCACCTCAGATTTATATAGAAAAAGATGATTTAAGAAGTCAGAAAATAATCCTGCAAAAAATTCAGCCATGTATTTTAAAATGGCTATGATAACATTCATAATTCACTTCAGATCATTCTAAAATCATGACATATAAACAATTCCTTACGCTGCCAGCTTTTCCTCTGCTGATTTTTCTACTGCATGTAACTTCTCGTTCAAGGTTTTCTGTTTCTCAAGACTATCTGCTGTCGCTTTTTTTAATGTCTCCTCATTCTGAAAATGTTATATCTTACAATCAGACATTGTTAATCTACAGACACTGTTTGTAACTATTCAATAAATATTCATAAAACACTGGATTAATTTATATCCATTGAAAATTAAGGTGAGTGATATATAAAAGTTGTGTGAAAAAAAAAGCTGAGATATTCATTGAAATTTAAAATAATTTGATAAACAAATGAGCTGTGTCATGACAAAACCAACATAATGCGTTTGCGACCAGCATGGATCCAGACCAGCCTGCAGTCTGATCAGGATCCATGCTGTTCGCTAACAAACTCTATTACAAATAGAGAAACTGATAGCGAACAGCATGGATCCTGATCAGACTGTTCGGATGCGCAGGCTGGTCTGGATCCATGCTGGTCGCAAACCCATTATGTTGGTTTTGTCGTGACGCGGCTCAAATATTTAGTTAACATAAACACCATCTGGTCCCTGGTAGCTTGGGTTTTTCTACCTGGACAGTCTATTACCTAAATATGTACTTCCTTATGACAATTATCTAGTATAATTGATTATCAAAGGAAGTAAAATTTATCTTTACTGCAGCCAAATTATCGTCAAACTTTCATACATTTGATATAAAGTGTAACTATGTCATTTAATCATAAAAAAAACTGTTACTTTTGTTTAGATGCAATTTAATAGATGAATAAGAAAATCAGTGTGTTGCCTTACTTTAAACATTTTCCTAAGGGAATAGTATGGATAGGTCAGGGAAAACTTAGTTTTGAAATAAAAGTTAAATTGCAAATTCCTTTGATTGGTCTCCCATTAATTTTACAAATTCACTGCACAGATGTGCAAAGTCTAATCTCTTTAGGTTCCGACAGGGAAAAGAATTAAGGGGAACTTAAAACTGCTAATAAAGATCTATTAAGAACAAAATCTTTGAGAAGTCAAAGTAATAAATAGTAAGGAATGGCTCAACAGGCAACACTTTAATATATATCACTTCTCATATTTCAATCATTATAATTTTATTCAAGTGTAATGAACCTTGTTCCCAGCAATTTGTCAATATCATACCTTATCAATAATGTTGCAATGGAATATTGATTTTTGGGTTTTCTGTTTAAGCAAAACATTTTACAAAGAAAGAAAGAAATTTGTTTAACCCCATTACTTCAGGAGCATTTTTGATGGAAAAAAATGGCTGTTTCTCATTGAAAAAGTCTTCAGTTACAAGTCAAAATTTGCAATATTAATATATAAAAAAACTGCTTCAAAACTTAATCAAAACCCTTTGCACCCAAATGTTGAACTGCGGACCCATTGGCACTTTGCAACAAACATGTTCAGGCCTTAAATTTTTTTCTAGTTACCATGGCAAGTAGGGGACATCTAAAAAATTTAGAGCCAAAAAAATCCACTTTTTGCGGCTTGATTTTTCCTTAAAATTTTGATTTAAAGTGCCTGCACTTTCTCAAATTTTGGATTGAGATAGAGTCAAAGCTTTTTCAAGCTTTTGGTTTACACGTTACCTTATGATCAATCTGGGGTCATTTACAGCCTCTCACAAGTCCAAAATTTTTCTTGGCGATGAGGGGGACTGCCAGCCCCCCTTCAAACCCCCAAGCAGAAAAGGGGGCACATCCCCCTTCTTGCAACCCCCTGATGTAAATCTTTTGGTTGGATGGCCGCGCCGAAAAAGAGGTCACTTTTTTTTAAAACAACATTTCTCAAACAAAAAACAAGGTGTTTGGGGCCTAAATAAGGCATTTTTTCATCATTTGAGACAACAAAAAAGGGGGGGGGGGGGGGGGTGAAAAAGGCGTTAAAAAGGCGTGTTTTTTTTTTCTTTTCAATCTACTACAGGTTAGAAAGTAATGGACGCCAACTCAACAAACTGAACCTTACCATCACTTTCTTTACTCAACATAAATTGAATTAAAAATTCTTTTTTTGAAATAGTGTATAACTGGTTTTTTTTCTGCAAAGGTTTCAAATTTTTGGGGTTTTGGGGCGGAAAAAAGGGTTTTTTTAATTTTTTGCGAAATTAATTTCTGCGTTTTTCAAACCAAAAAATTTTTTAAAAAATTTTAAAAATTTTTACTTTTTTTTATTAAATTTTCCGCCCAAAAAAAAAATTTCCAGCCTAAAAAAAACCCAAACTTTCTAAAAATCGCGAAAAAACTACATTTAAAATCCTTTGTGATAAAATTTACCCACACAGAGAGGCTTTTTTTTAAAAAATTAACATTTTTTTTATCAAAAACAATACAATACAGTTTTTTTTTGCAACGATTTTTTAGCATTTTTAAAAAGGGCGGGTTTTTTCCTAGAAATTAGAGCTAAACCCGGGGATGTGTATTTATTAATTAAAAAGTTAAAATTGAGGTGACAAAACCCGGGGAAATTACTATTTAAAAAAAAGAAAAAAATTGCGAATTTAAATTTTTTGGGTCGGGGAAAGGATCCCAAAAAATTTTGCAGAAATTAGCTATCAGCAGAAAAAAAAACCCGTTTTTTCGGGGAAATAAAGGGTTTTTTGGGAATTTTTGCCTTTTAAAGTTACCCATTTAAATTTTTTTCTTTTAAAAAAACAAGGGGGAAACACTTTTTTTGAAATCAATTTACCCCAAAAATTAAATTTTTGAGTCATTTGAAAATTACTAGGGGTTTAAAATCCTGCTGACTTCTTAATCTAATATTTTTAAAAATGATCTATTTAAAATCAAAAAATTTCCTTTTTCATAGACATCAAACCTTAGTTTTTTGCTTTTTCATAAACGCCCCAGAAGGTCCAAAAAAAATGGCCGTTTCCACAGCCCCGAAATCCCCCTTTGAGCCTAAAAAAAAACACCTTTAAAAAAAATACTGGAAAAACAAAATTTTTTTCAGGGAAAATTTTCTGTTTCATTTTTGTGGCGGTTAAAAACTGTTTCATAAACATTTTTTTTTTTTTCCATATGAATTTCATTAAGTTTTGGTAAAAAAATTTTTTTTTTATATTTTATAACTCATAACAGCTTGGGCATTGATTCAAATGCAAAGCATATTTTAAAAAATACATCGACACAGATGAAAAAATTAAACGGGAATACACCTGATATATCAAATAAAAATACAATTTTTAAAATTTTAATTTATTATTTTGCGAAACAATTTTTCATTTTAGCTTCATAATGTAGGAAAAAATTTAAAGGGGTTTACTCCAAAAACCCCCACTGTCAAAGGGAAAAAAATGGGGACTTTCCCAACTCAAATCTACGGGCCCCTGGATTGACAGCCGGACCTAAACCACAAGTTTCCCTTCTCACTTCATAATACCATTGCTGTTTATTTTTCCCCCAACTTTAAGGGACACATTTCTCGATAAAACATTATTAATTTATTATATAAAAATAAGCCAAAAACCTGAGCTTTTCCACTGCTATCTTCTAAACCCTTTTTCTGCAGCATCTTTCAAACTAATCATACATAAAAAATATATAACAAATACACGTTGTTAAATCGCACAGTAGAATCATATTTTAAAAATGTACATTAATATCGTATGATAATATAATGTCCACTTTTCCACTAAAATAAAAAAATTGTACCAAAAACATTATTAATATGCCCAAAAATTACTATTAATCAAAGGTGACAAAAAATGGGAAATGTCAAAATTTTACTGATTTTCTTTTTATGTAACTTAAAAATTTACATTTGCGCCCGAAAAAACCCCATTATCAAGCCAGGGGGCTTTCAAAGCCTTATATTCTTTAATAGTCCTTAAAAATAATATATATATGTTTTTTTACACAGTCATGTTTGTTCAGTATCAAATCTGGGATAGTACAATTTTTATTTCAATAAAAGAATTTCAACTAATAAAACAATTTTTGTTTTTTTTGCCATCACAAAAGCTTTCCGCAATTTCATACACGTCTTTTAGTGCAAAAAGTTTCCCGAAATAAATAAAAAAAAAAAAAATATTAAAGATGCTGAAACTTTTCTAACTTCCTTTTTTTTTTAGTATTAAACTTAAACTGTCACAGGGAATACTCCTACCACACTTTACACGGGATTTTTGTTTTTTTTTTACTTTTTAAAACTAAGTTTAAGAAAGTCCTTCATGGGTATAGTTTATGAGCAATACAAATTTCTGAATTTTGGGAAATTAAGGAACTTTAAACCCGGATTATTTTGCGATAAAAATAGGGGGGAAAATGACTTTCCCAAAATTAATCCTACAAAAATTACAAGTTTCAAATGAAACCTAGAAATTTTGAAGACGTCATTGCATGCAAACTTAACCATTAAGTTTCCCAAAAGAGCCATAATTCTAAAATCCATGCTATAACTTAGACATTTAGTTAGTCCAAGGGCAGCTATCATTTTATTTTTTCAAAAGTTAAATTTTTGGTCCCTGTAAGTTTTCCAAATAAATATTATAACCCCCTTTTTTCCCATTCCTTTTTTTTTTTGGGAAAAAGCTTTAAAAGGATTTAGTAGCTTGTATGCAAGTTAAAATACTTTCTTTGTTAACATTTTTTCGCTGTTATTAAAACATTCTCAATTCAAACCCCATGTTGAAACATTAATTTCTCTTAAAAAACCCTTATTTGAGCCCCTCACCCCCACAACACAACCCCAAAATAATGATTTGCACCACATGGACCCGACCAGCCTGCGCACCGTGCAGTCTGATCAGATCCCCTGCTGTTGCTATCAGTTTCTCTACTTGTAATAGGGGTAAGCGAACAGCATGGATCCCGATCAACGCGCAAAAAGCCAGCTGGTCTGCATCCAGTGGTCGCAAAAACCCCTTATGGGGTTATGTCATGGCCGGCCCTTAAAAATTAAGAACTCATGATTGCACATTCAAAAATGAAAATAATCATCATTTCTTTTAGCTAATGTACCTTTAAATAAGACCTAATAAATCTCAAAAAGTATTTAAAGCATATAAAGGGTTTTTTGAGATATTTTTTATACAAAAAACTTTTACCATTTGAGTGATACAACACTCACTTAGAGACATCCCAACTAATCTTTGAAAAGTCAAGTTAAAAAAAATTAAATAAAATTTTCTCCCGTTTTCCACGATCTTGTTTAATATTTTTCATTTTTTGAGAGTTCAGCTTTCTCTTTCTCCCATTTTTCTCTTTCTTTCACATTCCTTTTCTTTTTGATAGAAATTTCCCTTTCATGGGGTAGCTTGTTATTCGGCTGAAAATTCTTCAAGTCTGCCCCTGTGTACTTTAACTCCCATAAAAAAAAAAGTTTTATCTTTTTTTTTGTTTATGAAGAATCACGCTCAAAACATACAAACAGCTTTTTTGATAAAACATACTGATACATGTGTGATAATCCTCATTGGAAATTACCATCACATTGAGCACAGGGGAAAACCACATATTTTTTTTAAAATTTTTTTTCAAAACAATATTTGGTGATAATATGTGGTTTGGTTCAACCATAGGGGTTCTTGTTTATTGTCCCCAATGATGTTTTTTTTGATATTTTTTTTTTATTTTTTCCCAAAAAAAGTTTTAAATTTAACTGTTTGCCTTTTCCCGGAAAAAAAAAACTTCTTCTCCATCAAATACCAAACCTTTAGTTTTTTAAAACCTTAAACAAACTAAAAAATGTTTTTCCCAAAAGGGTACAAAAAATGCCCCTAAATTTCACTGCCCTTTTATCATTCTACGACACGAAAAAGGGGCCCCTAAAAATCAGTACAAACCCTGGGAAAACAAACAAGGGGTAAACAAATGCCATTTCACCCCCCCCCCACCCAATCAAATATAAAATCTTTTTTAAACAATTTTAAAAAGTACCCGGGGAAAAAAAAATTCTGTATCTAAAATTTTATCCTCATCCCCAAAAAAAGTTTCATCCGGGGCATCTTGTTTAAACATTCATCCAAACTGTAATAAATAGCAGATATATATAAACATAGACAAATAATATATAACATAAACATATATATATATATAACTAGCATGGTTTTTTTCGTATTTCAACATAAAAAAATAACAAATTTTTTTAATATAACCCCATTAAAATAAGGAAGTCCTTATAATTCTAATTGCAGCTTTGCAAGCCTATACAAGAATTTTTCTTTATTTTTTTTATTTTCGCAGAATGTTTAATTGAACATGATCGGAACATGAACCTTCTCCCTCAATAAAATTAGGGTTTAAAAAATTATTTTTCTTGTGAATGAAATAATTGACCACGGGGGAAATACAATAAATCAATCCTACCTGGTTTTTTTTCTCTGGATGTATGCAAAAATAAATCAACTCTCCGGGTGTTTACCAACAGGTTCAGCTTTTGCAGGAGGTTTGGAAAAAGTTTGCCGCTGATTTTCAATTCTTAAGTGTTCTGGCCAACGACTGACGTCCCCCTTTAGGTGGTGTTCCAAAAACAGAAGGTTTCATAAGTCCACTGAATGAAAAATATATGAGTATATCTTTCCAACTAACCTTCAAAACAAATTTGGAGCAGTGAAAGGGAGCTTACTTAAAAACATGGACCTGACCAGTAGGTTTACATTTTTACAATTTAACAAGGGAGTTATTGGCAAAAAATAGTGCTCACATGGAGGACAAATGGTACTGGTAATAAAATGGCTGTATAGTTAAATGCCAACTTAAAGCAAGGGTACCAAAAAATTACAAAGTTTCATTTTTTAACAAATGCAGCAAAGAATTTAATATTTTAAATTGTCAGCAAAAGCAATATCCTACAGTTATTGGTCAGACAAATTTTGACATTACCAAAAGTCAGGTTGACCTTGACGTTTTGAACAAACAGATTTTACACCAATCATAAGTCATCTACAATCCATGATCTAACCCGCAAAGTTGAGCATATTAAATTTAAAAGACGGGTAGGCCAAGGTGTTTTAAAGTTAAATTTACCCGAGAAATGTTTTCATTGGGTCAAGGTAATGGTGACCTTGACCTTTGACTGAGTGACTCAAAATAGAGTCTCTCAAACCTGCGACTTTAAGCCAAAGCATTCTCTAGTTATTTTTCAAGAACGCCTATTTTATAACTGATTTTCCTGTTATCTTTTAACATAAGTGAAGCTTTAATTAAGATCATTTGAGCCGCGTCACGACAAAGCCAACATAGTGCATTTGCGACCAGCATGGATCCTGATCAGACTGCGCTATCTTGATCTTTTACTTGTAATAGAGTTGGTAAGTGGATGCGCAGGCTGGTCTGGATCCATGCTGGTCGCAAACGCACTATGTTGGTTTTGTCGTGACGAGGCTCATTTCACACAGGTAGAGTATTAAATAAAGTCTCATCAGTCTCATCTTATTTATAAAGATTCACATACCATGAAAAAATGAAATGAAATTATTTTTGAAATAACAAACAAAAAATGACCCCTAAAATTTTTTAAACCTTTTTTCCCAAACGTGAACCTCAAATTTTATTCCCCCTGGGATCTGAAAAAAATATTCGTTTTTGTAATTTTTTAATTGTAAAATATTCAAAAAATTTTTGGAAATGGGCCCATTTTCCCAAAGTAAAATTTAAAAATCCAGAAAAAAAATTAATGGGTTTCTTTTTCTTTTCAGGCTTTAGAGGGCACTAAACCCTAAAGGGGAACCACTGAAATCAAAGCTAATGAAAAACCCCCCCCCCAAAATTTGGGAAGAACTCAGCCCCCTTGGGGAAATTAAAAACCCCCTGCTGTGAGACCCAATGTTTAAAAATTTTATTTTACCTTAACAATTTGAAAAAAAAATACAGTTGATAAGGATTTTTTGGGGATTCCCTTTGGTTTTTATAACAGACCTCACATTATTCCCTAAGAATCTAACTAAAATGTTTGACTCTGGTGAGAAAAAATTATTAACGAACACAATGTCAAGTTTTAACTGAATTATTTTGTAAATATTTTACAGACTTACTTATAGGGGCTTCATCAACAAGAGGGTCAAAACTTAACATACAATGACATCCTGGAAAGTGCTGACTCTCCCTAAAATATATGCATGAGAAAATTATAATACAAATATAACAGGAGCAAATACAACTTATGAATTATGTAATGTTATATAACATTAGAAATAAATTCAAAGGCAGAGCAAGAAGGAATTACTTTTTTTTGGTTTGATTTTTACATCACACCAACACAGTATAGGTCATATGGCAGCTTTCCAGCTTTTTTTTGGTTGAGAAACCTCTATGCATTATTTCAGGCACACAAACAGGCAACATAAGTAGAACTAACTAACATTTTGTAAGTTAGCTGGATAGCTTCCTTATATGAGAGAATCCAAAGATGCTGGTGCAGCTCAAACCTACAGCGGTAAGAGGTAAAACTAACAGGGTTTGAAGTCAATGACCTTAACCACTTGGCCATGGACTCTCTCAATGACTTTTAAACATTGGGGTTAAGAGTATTAACAATAAAACATGCACTTAACTGTTGAATTCTCAATAAAGTAAATAATAATCTTGAATAAAAGTCCAAAAAGGACACTTACAGAGTCACTAGAACCTCCTCCCAGTTTTTCCAACATCTCCCAAGCTGCTGGATCATTGAAGACCTGTGACGCTGACACGAACTGAGACTCGTCAATATCTCCAAACTGGTTGGCCTGTGACCCCTCCTCCCCTCTCCTTGTAACTCCCTGTACTTCAAATATATCCCCAATACCTCCCACCTGTCTGTGAAGATAAGTAAGCCATATCTTTTGTTATTTATAGCATCAAAGTATATCTAATTTATTTTTTTTACCAAGAAAATTTTTAATCATTCCGCAATCAAATGATAAATAAGAACAAGAGCACCGCTAGGCGGAGCATTATATGCCCGAAAGTGTTTTTTTTATATTAAGGATGAAGCATTTGTAAGACATTACATAAATTAAATAAAGTATTACCTCCTTCCAATAGCAATCCTCCTATAAAGTTTGAATATTGTGGGCCAAATAGAAATTAAGTTATGCTCCGGAAACTGTTTTCAGTTTTTAAAAGTAATAGTGACCTTGATCTTTGACCTTGTGACGCCAAAATCAATAGGGGTATTCTACCCAATATGGACAATCATCCTATGAATTTGAATATTGTGGGCCAAATAGACCTTAAGTTATGCTCTGGAAATGTTTTTCAGTTTTAAATAATAGTGACCTTGACCTTTGACCTTGTGGACCCAAATCAATAGGGTTCTCCTACCCAATATGGACATTCATCCTATGAAGTTTGAACACTGTGGGCCCACATGGAACTTAAGTTATGCTCCGAAAAACTGTTTTCAGTTTTAAGTTGATAGTGACTTTGACCTTGTGACCCCAAAATAAATAGGGGTCTTCTACCCAATATGGAAAATCATCCTATGAAGTTTTGAATGTTGTGGGCCAAATGAAACTTAAGTTATGCTCCGGAAACTGTTTTCAGTTTTAAGGTGATAGTGACCTTGACCTTTGACCCCAAAAATCAATAGGGGTCTTCTACCCAATATGGGCAATCATCCTATGAAGTTTGAATGTTGTGGGCCAAATGGAACTTAAGTTATGCTCAGGAAACCAAATTGCTAACGAACGGACGGACGGACGGACGCCAGGGGGTATTACATAATATGCCCGAAATTTTTTCGGGCATATAAAAAGCAATGCAATGTAACTTGTTATCTTCCTTTAACAAAGTATGATGATCCATCCACAACAATTATTATATTTCTACATCTTTATAGCCAATATTGTAGTATTACATTCAGAATTATGTCACTGCTGCTAAATTACATCTAATTTACCTCAAGGTTCAGTTATATTAGTTAATTAACCATTTTACATGATGCATTTATACCAAATAGTGATACTTTTCAGTTAATTGTAAATAAACTCAATATTTTTAAATCATCAATTAGCCTTGCCAACAAATATTTTGGTTTTGAGCTTAATTTACTTTGAACTATGGCACTATCTTAATGAGATGCCACTTCATCAAAAACAAGTCAGCAGCATACATCAAACTGAAAAGTTTGCCCAAAGATTTGTATACTGATAATGCACAAGCTAAAGAATTTAACAATTCAATTACAATGAAAAATTCAAATCACTAGATTTATTTAAAAGAGATTCATCTAAAGTATCCTGAATAATTATAACTAAGAAACTTACTCATCAGGTTCGTTTGTAGGTGCTGTAGGGATCTCAAACTTCTTTGAAAATGGATCGTCCTCTTTGGTTGGTGTGTTAGCAACCCTCGACTTTGTCACGAATGGCATCTCTTCTATTGTCGTCAAAGCAGGAGAGTTACAGATTCCACCACTACTCTTGAATGGATCAATTTCCGTCGCAGCTTTTACACCTTTCTCAACACTTTCCGTTTCTGGCTTTTCGGGTGTATTCACTACTGTACTCTTGGTTTGAAATGGATTCAAATCAGCAAATGGATCTACCTGACTGCCAGACTTCACTGGAGGAGACATTGTAAGCTGCTTCTTTGATTTAAATGGATCCACATTGGAAAAATGGATCTATTGTGTGTCATTTGTTGAAGCCTCATCTTTTACAGTGTTGGAGATTTCAGTTTTGACTTTTTCTGCCACATTAACCTTGACTTTCAAAATAGGAGAATTTTGCATTTGACTTTTTGGCTTAAATGGATCATCCATCAATTCAATGTCTAAAATTTCTGAATCCATTTCTGTTTTTTTCCCTGCTGCTGCATTTGAAGATTCTGCAACAGTTTCAACATTGTCTGAACTTAAGTCTGAGATCTTTTTATTACATTCTGTTGTTTTATTCACTGGTGAATTTTGCATTTGACTTTGTGGTTTGAAAGGATCTTCAATGTCTACATTATCATTGTTATTACAAGTATCACTAGATACAGTTTTGACTGGTGAGTTTTGAACCTGAGATTTTGATTTAAATGGATCTGTTTCACAGATATTAAGTTTGTTTTCTTCTTTCAGGGGAGAATTGGCTACCTGAGAGACTGTTTTAAAAGGATCTGTTATGTCTTCTAATGTTTCCATACTTTTTGCTTCTAACGCTGGATTTTTTTCTTCAAGATCTGGTTGTGATGTTACAGCATCTTTATTGTTACTGTTAGCTAGCACTGAATCCTTTTCATTAAAGTCTGGTGAATTAATGATTTGGGTTTTAGGCTTGAATGGATCTATTCCATCACTTTTTGTTTCACCGTGTTCTTTATTCACTACAGGGGAATTCATAATCTGTTTCTTGGGTTTAAACGGATCGACTGTAGCTGCTTTAGTCTCACTAATGCTCCCACAAGGTGAATTTGCCATCTGCACCGATGGTTTGAAAGGATCTATTTCATCAATGTCAAGTGCATCCAAGTTGTATGCTCCTGTCCGTTAATGGTATTTGAGGAGATGCTGATGGGGGCTGTTTATCTTCTAATTTTTTCCTTATGTGGTGTAACTGGATGTTCTTCAGATTGTTTATCTTCTGTATTTTCAATGTTCATTGATGGTAATTCTTTTTATTTCAGTTGTTCGCTTCACAAGTGTCAGGTTTGATGTCAACAACATTATCATTTACTTCAGTTTTCACAGGTGTATTTATGATTGGATTTGACTGGTACTTCATTTTCCATTTTTATATTGGTATTTTTGTTTAACATGGCTTTATCAGGTGTATTTACAATCTGCGTTCTTGGGCTTTAAAATGGGTCCATATTGTCAAAATCTAATTCCTTCTTTGGGTCAAGCTCTTGACCAATGTCAATTGAGTGTGAGCTAGACTTGTTTCTCCTCAGTCAATATGTCTGCATCATTAGGAAGCTTAGCATCATCAGGAAGTAAGCAATCTGGCTTCTCCTCAAATATATCACCCAGCTGATTTGTCCTGAAAACTTTATCTACCAATACTGCATTTGGAGAAAGAATAATTTCAGCTTTGTGGGTTCAGATTTAACAGGGCTTGAGTTGCTGACTTAAAGTTTTCGGTACTCTCAGTGTTTTTAACATCAGCTTTATTATCAGATTTGTCTTCTGGTTCATCTGTTTTCTTTTCCACCTTTTTTTCCAACTGCTTCCTTACTAAATCTGGACTATTTAATAAAGCTTTCTTTGTTGAAAATGGATCCATTAGCATAAAGATCATCAAAGTTTAGATTGTATCCAATTTTTGGTGGTGTTCTCTCGGGCGAATCCTGTTTAGGTTCTATATTTATTATCTTGCTGATTCTGTGTCTCAGGAAGAGTTGATTTAGACGGTGTTTTCGCTTCATCAACTTCCATATCCTCATCTGCTGACATAAATTCTTCATCTGAACTATCATCTCCCTTCTTTTTTGCTTCTTTTCCTGTTTTGCCATCTGTTTTGCATTTTCAGTATCTGCAGGTATCTTGGACATCTTTTGTTTCCTCAATCTTTCAATTGTCATAGCAGTTTTTTCTGTTTTGTCAGAACATTCCTCTTCGTCTGAATTTAATTGCTCCAGTAATTATTGTCTTTTTCCACTTTATCTGATACAACACATTCCTCTTTACGCTGCTATCTTGAATTGGCATATTTCAGTTTTGTCTTCAATTTTTCCATCTATTTTGTCTGTAATCTGCCTTTGTAACCTTAGCATCATCAATGTTGTCAATACTTTTACTCAAGCTTTAGATATATAATTCTCTTTTGTTTCACTTGTCACAGTTGTGCCATCACACCAATTTGCTAGTTTTCTCTTCAGTATCAACAATTACTTTTCCAGCATTAACCTTTGTCTCCAAATTGAAACACAATTTCATCCATCATCATCGTCATCTACCTCCATAGCTTCACCAACTTCCATTGGCTCCTCTTCATTAGTGTAAGAATGTATTCTGATTCCTTTTCTGTTCTTTTAATTTCCTCTGATTTTATTTCATTTTGTCTACCACCTTTTTTTCATTACTATCAGCAAGATTTCTCTGACTTACAACATCACTATCATCAGTAGCTTTTTTGCCATGACTTGCTTCTGAACCTGTCCCACTGTCTTCTTTCACAGTATCGTCTTTAGTCTGTTTCTCATTACTAACTCCTGCCTCATTTGGCTTATCAGAAACTTCATTAGTCGTTGTCTTGTCAGCCTGTAATGAGTCATCAGCAGCGGAATCTGTACTAAATAATTCTCCTCGTAGTGATCTCAGTAACATCTCAGATTTAAGTAGAATATCATCAATGTCAGATGATCCATCAAATGTCTGAAAGAAAAACAAAGAGTGATAGTGATTGATCAGTAAGTTTTTTTTCTTCTTCACAAAATAATACATTGATATTAAGAATACATACACTGCACATCCATTAGTTATTTAAGTATTGCTTTACATCATGAATATTTGAGTTATGAAATATACACATTTATCATATGATCTAAATATAGCTGCAATCTCATTGGTCAAACCAGTAGTCAACAGAACTATTTATAAAATCATATACACTGGGTGTAGTATCATATTCACTGGCTAAATTGAATTTTCCAAATTTAAAAATAGATCTAGACTCATATTCAATGACCATGCATCGTAGAGTGTTAATTATGCTTGTGCATAAAAAAATTTTGTTCTTTATGTCATATTTCTTGATTAAAATATCATTACTTTACTACAATAGCTAAAAGCTACACCGCAAAAAATTACTTTTGTTTGCGCAGCGTTTGGCGTAGACTTTGAATGCCTAAAGTCATCTTGTTTACAGTGCGCCATTTTTCCCCACGCTTCATTTGAAAACAGGCGAAACACTGTGTTTTGTATTTCCTTATAAGGCTTTAATTTTTGTGTGAGTTTTTAATCTTTGCTTAATATTCATATATTTTTTTTTCATTGCTACCTTGCCACTGGTTATGCAGAACAAGTGGTCAATTATCTACATATCTTTCCTCTTCACATTCCATGCTTAAACAACAAAGAAATATTTCAATTAATTGTAATCGCAAATGGGGTCTCGAAATAAGCTTGCTATACGCCAAGTTTGATTACAATATCTCATTCCTAACTCTTAGTTATTGTCCGGAAACCATTTTTCTATTTTTAGTAACACTGTAACGGTGACCTGACCCTAGGGGTCCAAATGCAATACCAACCAAGGTCTTCATATTAGCTTGCTATCATACCACCAAGTTTGATTACAGTATCTCATTCCTAAGTCAAGATATTGTCTGGAAACCATTTTTTTCTATTTTTAGTAACAGTGACATTGACCTTGACCCCAGGGGGGTCCAAATGCAATACCAAATCAGGTCTTCAAAATAAGCTTTCTATACACCAAGTTTGATTACAGTATCCTCATTCCTAAGTCAAGTTATTGTCCGGAAACAATTTTTCTATTTTTAGTAACGGTGACCTTGACCCAGGGGGCCCAAATGCAATACCAACCAGGTCTTCATATAAGCTTGCTATATACGCCAAGTTTGATAACAATATCTCATTCCTAACTAGTTATTGTCCCGAAACCATTTTTCTATTTTTAGTAACGGTGACCTTGACCCAGAGGGTCCCAAATGCAATACCAACCCAGGTCTTCATATAAGCTTGCTATATGCCAAGTTTGATAACATATATCTCATTCCTTACTCTAGTTATTGTCCGGAAAACATTTTTCTATTTTTAGTACGGTGACCTTGACCTTGACCCTAGGGGGTCCAAATGCAATACCAAACCCAGGTCTTCATAAGCTTGCTATATACACCAAGTTTGATTACAGTATCTCATTCCTAAGTCAAGTTATTGTCCGGAAACCATTTTTCTATTTTTAGTAACGGTGACCTTGACCCCAGAGGTCCCAAATGCAATACCAACCCAGGTCTTCATATAAACTTGCTATACGCCAAGTTTGATAACAATATCTCATTCCTAACTCTAGTTATTGTCTGGAAATCATTTTTCTATTTTTAGTAACGGTGACCTTGACCCTAGGGGGTCCAAATGCAATACCAACCGGAGTTTCCACATAAGGTTGCTATATCCCAAGTTTGATTACAATACCTCATTCCAAACTCTAGTTATCGTCCGGAAACCATGATGTGGACCGACCGACGGACCGACAAGCTGACTCCTATATACCCCCCCTAAACTTCGTTTGTTGGGGTATAAAAAAGTGAGCAGAAAGTTGTTCTGACAATAAGTGATATTACCTCAGTTGTTGTAGGTTCACTGATGCTGACCTCCATAGCACACTCTTCTATACCACTGTCAGCACTTCCATTAGAATCTATGTCACTGAAATATTCATTCAACATAACTATGAAACATAGCATTATAAGCCTTTGAGAATATGGAAATGTGCATTTATGAAAAATCCTGTAACTCCAAAATTTTTATGTTTTTTTTCATCATAATTGTGATGCTCAAATGAAGATTTATCAATATTGTAAGATCCAAAAAGCATTATTTGTAGTAAAGATATAACCGAATTTACATTTCATGTATAAAAGGGAGGTACATGTAATTAGAAATTTATTTTTTATCAAGTCTAAGCCAAATTTTCAATAAAAAATGAATGCATATATTTTAATGATTACATACTAGGGCTGTTCAAAAAGTAATAGGACTGCAGTTCTACTGTTCACATTTTTTAATTTACGTGCACAATTTTACAAGATCATAACATCGGAAAATATCCTCTATATACATTGAAAAAATCAATAAAATATGTTTAAAAATAACGAGTCTGTGAAAATTTCAAATGACAAGGGGTACGCGACCCGGCGCACGCTAACAGCACAATAGATGACATTTATGACGTCGTAAATAAAAAAAATGTATCAAGCGTCATCCGCTTCTGAAAGAATTCTCCATAGTGTTCTAGATATCTAAAATCATGTAACTTTGACAAGACCTCATATGTGGAGATGAAGCGAGAAAGAAAACGATCACATTCTTGTTCACTTTCCGAGAGAAAAAAAGCCCGATAGCCGGCCACTCTCCGCTTTTCTCTTATTTTTGTATCTTATAGTAATCAATATAGATTAAAAAAAGCAGGAAATTATTTTAAAAAATATGATACATAACTTATTATGTAGTACATGTTAAAAAGTAGCGATTAATCGGGGATATTATATTACTGTTTAAACATTATAACATTAATTTTATTGAAAACATATATCTAGATAAATGTATAGAAAATTTTGTTTTGAACAAATCATTAAGGCAGAATGAATTCATAGACCCGATGCAGAAATTCAACATGCCGGACAGTTTGTGGAAACTGTCGAATTTGGTAGCGCTTTTTCATTTGAACTACTACATTTCCGCGTCAATTTCCCGCTATTCATTCTCATCCTTCTGTTTTTGTGATTTCGTATGTGCAGTTTTTTTATTGTTTTGCGGCAAGATGAGAAGTTCTGATACGCGATAATTTACTTTGTTAATTTTATGTTTTATATGTATCTGAAGGAGTACTCGCCAAATTGTTGGCAAAGTTTACGGATCGCCACACATTTTCAAAAATTTTTTTAAAGAACTCAATTTCTACATTTAACGTTATGACCTGCTGTTTCAAAACTTGAATGATATTACCATTTCATGTCTGAATGATGTTCAAATTTGGCATAATCTCAACGTTAAATGTATTTAATAATTTGTTGTTTTTGGTGGGAATAATGGGGAAAAAAGAAAATATTATGAATAAAATAGAAGTTTCAACTAAGCTTCATAACCTTTTTTATGTGCTGCGCCGGGATGCGGTTACATGGTTATTCTAACTAAACAGGGAACACGCGTTAGCATAAGATATCAATATTTTTTATGTTTGAATTGAAGAAAACATTTTTAGATCGTGTACATATAAAAATATTCCTAAATTGAAATTGAATAATGACAAGATGCAGAGACTCTTAAGTCTATTACCTTTTGAACAACCCTCGTATAATGCCATTAACATTTTCCAGTACATTTTAAACATATTCTTTGGATGTTTGAAACCCATGTGTTTTAGAAGAATAAATTATAATCATATATAAAATTTCACTTAAGTTTTTTGTTACATCGCTTAAATTACAACATAAAGGATCTTTAATGTAATATTTCAGGGTATTATGAATGAATGCAACACAATAAATGATATATATTGCAGCAATAAGATTGAACAATTCTAAAATTTCTTGGCAGTAGCAACTGTGGCGCTAACTACGCATAGCCAGTTGAACAGAATCACAATTTTAGTTCAAAATGTTAATGAACACATTAATTCTAATGGTTTAAGCAAATGTAAATAAAGGGTTCAAATTATGTGGCAGAAAAGCTTGGTGTACATTTTCCAATTTTGATGAACTTGTTAAGAACAATCGCAATGCTTAATTTTTGGCTTTTTCACTTAAGCAATCAAGACGGCCTGGTGCTCACTTTAATATCATTTGGTTATTTTGGTAAGTAGACTTTGAAAACTTAAAGACTTGACAGAAGATTTTCAAAGGTCAATTTTTGCATCTTCTTCTTAAATCTAAAGGCTATAAATCTTCTGTATATTTTATCATGTCCTGGAATAAAATAACTCACATCTTTGATACGGAAGTTGATCTATCACATGACTCACAATCTCCTCAGCAGACCTCTACACTAGCTTTGTTCGACTTCTTTTCACCGTTCTTTAACAACATCTTCATCGACGACTGTTTGTAATTATCACGTTGCCCCAACTTTCTGTGGGTTTGTAGTTCTCATTTCAGCCTGCTATTAAAATAAAACGCAATTTAGATGTTTATTATTACTCTCCTCTAATATATTTTGTGGTAAACATCAGATCCACATAATGTACGCCATTTTTCAGAATCAGATAAGTTTAGAAAATGCCTGTGTACCAGCATTATAAAGCAGTGTCTATTCTAGGATTTGAAAAACAGGGGGGATTTTTTTCGAAAATTTATTAACATTTGTTGATTTTTTTCCTTCTTTTCTTCTATGTAAAAATTTCCCCCTGCCTCTGAAAAAATAGGGGGAAATTCTCAAAATATGGTGTAATCCCCCCCATCCCCCCCCTAGAATAGACACTGATAAAGCATACTAATACGGACATACGGCTAATCTTCTAGTTTTCACTGACTGTATGGGTAGATTCTGCTTCACTAGCAGAGTTAAAGAGCTGTACTGCAATCCAAAAATAACTAAGAGAATCAGTTCATCCTACTAGTAAGCATCTAATCTTGGTCTAGTGAAGCAATTGAAACTTTAATTCTTTTGATGAATTATTATCATTTATTGTAAAAGTTTAACTTTTAATAATGAAGGAAAAACTTCATAGAATGTCATTATTTAGAAATAACTGTACATCTCCATTTCTTTTCAAAACACTTGTATCATAGCTTGGAACCTTTCTGTTGAAAATGTGTCAGGGTTAAATCGTATACATATACATGCACAGTGCGTTAACTGGAGTGCGGGTATTAGTTACCCGCACTCCAGAGCATGCCCATTGATTGGCTCATTTTTGCTGGGTTTACATATTTTGAACGCAGAGAAAGGGAAAGCGACAGAAATGTATATTCAGATGTTTGTTATTGGTTCATTTTTGCCGGGGTTTTCATATTGTGAAACAGGGGAAACGTGCTTTTATGTTTGACTATGATACAAAAGAGAAAGAAAACCAAACACTCGGCAATTGATTAATACTCGTGGTATGCCCCCTCGTAACAAATCAGATAGCCTCGTGTTTCGGTGAATCTTTCTATTACAAATAACACAAACACATTATGCCCTGAATTTGCATTTGAGATATTGTAGTCATTTCTATAGCATGATGGACAAGTGATTTATGTCATATCTCACCTAACTAACCAGGCCAGTTCCTAAGAAGCATAAACGTTAAAATTGTCTTTAAATAATTCAAATTAAAATTGTTAAATAAAACTTTTTGAATATAGTTTCTAAACCCTAATTTATAGGCAGAAACATCTCCTTTACTTTTTCCACCCCTGCTTGACATTCGCGTCTGAAAGTAAAACGCTGTCAGTCCAAAAGTGCACCTACAAGATTAAAGATTTGTAGTAAATTATATATTTGGAGTAAAGATTGAAGCATCTTTAACTATCAAATGGAAAATTTCAATGACAAATCGTTTGAAATTGTTTCTTTGTTTATTATCTAATTTTTAATAAATTTTCACTACAAACATATATAAAGTAAAGAAAGTTACTCTAACTATATTAAATCTTAATCATGCTAGTAAAAACTTTGTTTATTCATGACCAGGCATGACAAAACACCAAGTAGGGACCATAACTACATTGTATGCTAACAAATAGATACCTCATGGTTTGAAATGATTCAAGGTGTCTTTTGATCCTAACCAACAGATGACAGGATCTGGTGCTTTACACTCAAACCTCTTAAGCTTCTTTTTCTTGGTTTTCTGTACTGTGTATAAAGTTGAATCAGGTTGTCCTTCTGGCACTGCTTCAGTATAGATTTAACAATAACTGGTGACTGGACAAGACCTGGAGCACTTGTATATCATTCTCATCAGTTATAGAAACTATACTGTTCTCTTTATTCCTCCGAATCAGTGAAATCCTCAAATCTGCCATGAGTGATTACATCTGAAACAAAAATGAGATGATGAAGGAAACTAAAAAACCTATCTGGGACATAGTATATTTGGAATATTAACCAGGCTGGTGAAAATCCCGATGGGGCTTACACATAAAATATCATATTTTCTACTCTTGAATATATGATACAATTAAAATCAAAATATTTTGGTTATCTTTTATTTTCTTTTAATAGAATTATTTCCTTTTTTCCCATTTTCTAGAAACAAAATATTTAAAGTTCATAAAAATTATGTTGTAATGTAAAACTTCTAAATAGAAATGTGTCCAACTTCATTTTGCTCTAGATTATTGCGCCAGTACCTTTATTCTATATATTTGGATTAAATATTCTGTTTCTGGCATTTATTATTGAACATTATACTTTGAAGTTTTCTCTGAAAACTGAATGAAAATGTATGCTGACAGGTGTTGGCGCAATGAATTAGAGTATAAAGAAGTCATTTAACCTGTTTTGTTTTACACTTTGCATATGTAAATTACTTTTTAAAGGACTTTAAAAAATTATGTGTTATAAAAACATGAAAAAAGGGAAATAAATCTCACAAAAGTGACAATAGCCAAATATTTTTCTGTCTGTTTATGTCAAATATTATTCTTATATATCTATTTCTTTTCTAGAAATATGATTTTTATGACATAAGCCCAATTGGGCATTTTCAACAGCCTGTTAACTGGAGATAAGTGCTGATTATCTTTGCTTCAAATCAGGTGGACATGTGGTCATTTTTTTACTGTAGTTTGCTGTGAAAGGATATTTCTTTTTTTTTGTTAATAATTATGGTGTAAATAAGAGGAATTTATAAAATCAACAGACATATATATAAGATTTTAACAGACATGGGTCAACCACATTATGTAATTGAACCAATTAATTATCAATTAATATTAAAATCAGAAGTTAAATCATAATTTAATTAATTACAAGCACAATAGGCTGCAATCATGATAAATTTATGATTTAATACCAGCAGGGCATTTTTTTGTCAAAATTGTGAAGGGCCTGGGCTGTTTATTTTGTGAAAATAAGCGTTATATGTCATAAAAATTGTGAAAAAAAGACATATTTTCTTGGCATTTCACAACATTTTTGAAACCTGAAATGGGTTTGATTATAATTTCTGACCAGTGGTAAAATCTTCTTCAAGTAGGTACATTAACCCGGTTAACATGGGCAAAAACATTTAACTTGATTTAAACTATTTTTATGTTTATTCAATTGGGCGTAAACAAGTTTTTACAGAAAGGTATACAATGTATTTCAAAGACAAAGTCCCAATATATATTTTGTGAAATCCCTTTTGAAATTGTGAAGTTTTTTCTCTTTGTTAAAAAAAGTGCAATTTTGAATTGTGAAGAGGCCTTACATCGGCCCCTGTTATAGAAGGAAAAAAAGCCCTGACCAGGGATCTTTTTTGCTTGTTTTATTGCCGATATTTAGTCATATTCCCAATTGAAAATAGTATATTATTTTCCCAATCCAACAGGAAAAAAATTCCCCCATTAAAAGTTACAATATAAAAATATTGAATTACAAATTCTAAAATAATTTGAAAATACGGGCTTCTTCACTTGTTATGGTGCTTAATGTTTGAATGAGCAATCCTAGACAGTGATTCTTCGCATTCATATATCACTGCAAAAAATTAAGGTAATGCGTTTTTCCCAATTTTTAACAAAAAACATCGATGAAAATTCCCATTCAATGGGTTTGGTTATCATGTTCCTAAGAAAATTCTGGAAAAAAACCCTGAATACTTTTCTGTATTATGTCAGATAATAGGTAGATGTTTAATAGATGAATCAGGGGTCAGCTTGGCCCTTTAAACATACTCGTCCCGCGAGTCAGCTCGGCATTATTCAACTCAGTAAGGGTCAACTCGGCCCATAATTATAATAATATATGAGTAATGATTACTTTTTTTTTACTTTTTATATTTTTTCATAACTTTCATTGTTAAAAATTTTCACAATAATAGACCTCTACAACAAGGTTATTGAAAAGTTATATTGATGAAAGTACAAATTTGTAATGTGAATTTGCAGAGATGGGAAGAATTTAATGATTTAATATGCACGTTTTGCTTACTTCAGATGTTTTTTTGTAAAAATATAATCGTTCAAACAGCATTGATCGTGTTAAAGAACAAACAGTGTTAAAATACAATTACATTTATTGTTATAAAAATTCAATTTAAAAGATCAATATGTAACATTTATTGGGTTTGATATCTCTTCTTAACAAAGACTATTTCAAATAATACGTACATGTACACTGCCAACTTTTTAAAATTTCTGTTTGTTAAGTGGATGGTCGTAGGACAGGGCGGACCGTGAGACAAAGTATTTTCATATTGAACAGATTATTATTAACATTTAGCTATGCAATTATAAGTATAAAATAGGTTACTGTAGAGTAAGACAGTGGGAATGGATTGAAAAAATCTCATATGTAAAACATTTTGCACTGATATTAAAAAACTTGACAGAATAACCTTAATTTTTTATGTGCAATTCATAACATTTAAGCTGTATGGAGGAATAATGATTATTTATAATAGTTTTAAGTTCGTTACTATAGGAAAACCAATAAATGTAAACATGTATGTATATAAATTCTCTAAATAGACAGCATCTTAATTAAAACAAAGCAAAGAAATTAACTCGTCAAAAGAATCAAAATTGATAACATTATAGATAGAATATTCCAACAAGACACTTTACATCAAAACATTTCTAGATAGTTGCACAATCCTTAATGGCCGTGCATAATAGTGCATTTTATCACACACCTGTGCCGATTTTGCAACTCTGTAAAAATGGTATTGCATGGCCGTGCATATATTTTGAAGTGACGTCATAAGCGTTATAAATACAAACATTGTGCAAAGACACGCTAAATGTTAGCGTTACACTATAGGTGCATCAATGAAAAATGACTCTTTTTTCACTTTAAAAGGACTTTATTTTGGGTATGTGATAAATAGAATATTAAATTCGTGTAAGTTCATTGACACTGAATGTATTGAACTTGTTGAATAAGACAATATTATACTCGCCAGAGGCTCGCATAATATATTTATAATAATTTTATTCAACTTGTGCAATAAATTCAGTATTGAACTTACACTCATTCAATATCCTCTATATATTATGTGTATATATGAATGTATGTTAAAAAGTAAATCAATCGATATGCATGTGGTTTTTAAGTTTTGTACTTGTATATATATTTGTCTGACTTTGTCATTATGTTTTAAAATATCTTTTAAATAATAAGTCATTGTTTCTGTATACGATGTAAATTTTGTCTCCCTTTTGTGATCATTTTTGTAATGTCATTCATCATCATTTAAAACGCTATTGTTTTGTATTGTGTTTCAAATGTCAGACCGAATAACAAGCCTTTTCTATATGTATTGTTATATAAATTAATACACTCTTATTACTTAACAAAATGACATGTAATATCCTAATAATTGGTCAATTATCACCTGCATAATGTCCAACTCGAGGCTGTTTTAAATAATTTCATTAATCAAATTTATTCTAAATTAATAAACTGCATTGATATTTGTATATGTTCATAATGATATTTAAAGAAAACTAGAACTGTGTCCAACAGGGCTCATCCTGGGGGGAAATTTTAGGGAGAAGTGACTTCCTATAGACCTAAATAAATAAAAGTCTTCTTTTCAATAAAATGTTTGTGTAAAATTTGAAACAAAACTTAAAACGCTGCAAAATAAAGATGTTTATTTCGCTATAAATACAATTGCGGAAATCCGATTTTTAGGGGGTTGCCCATTCTTTGGGCATGTGCGTGAAAAAAAAGACGTCAATCGGTACCCGCCACTACGATTCGTAGATAATTTTGTAACCGTCTCTGATTGGTCTTTATAAATAGATATGTACTGGAAAATCCGATTCCCGTTATGCTTGTTTGTTTGTTTGTTTCATTTTACGCCTTTTCCGAACAGTATTTCAGTCTTATAGGCGGTCCGTTATGCTTGACTTTATCACGTGAAATAAACAAGGTCAAAATGTCTCAAAGTCTATAACAAATTTTCTTATGACGAAACGGCCGGCGGACAAATCTGATGGAGATTCTATTGCATATCAAATATCGAGGAAACGTCTGAGAAGGCTTGAAAACTGTAAGAACTTAATGTTCACCTGGATATTGTAATGGGTGATTCATCAACCGTGACTCAAATGGCCTGCAAAACATGTAAAATGTTTGCACCTGCAGACAGAGTATCTAGACTAAGGAATTTATATTTAATAAGATTTTATGTCTATTTATTAACCAGAATGGAAAGAAAATATGGTCTTGCCCCTTTCTGTCCATTACATGTATGTTCGTCTTGTAAATGTCCAATCTTTTATATGGTCTTGGGAGTGGGTGCAATAAAAACTGCCTAGGCTAGGGAGGGGTATCGCCATTTTTTTGTTAGGTTGTAGAAACTGCCTAGGCTAGAGGGGTAAGACCATATTTATTTAAGAAGGCTATCACCAGCATAGACATTCTATTTCAACATTACATGATCCATGGCATTATTCTCTCATAATGAAGTCAGTTTTTTTCAAAAGCTTATGACTGTTGTCATTTATAACAACCACCTTATCCAATGCAATGGTCAGAGAAAGAAGAGGCCAACTGTAACAACTCCATATGGCCCGAGAACTTGATATGATTTTTACATCATATTTTAATAAATTTGCGTTCTCAATTTCAGCTAGTCCCTTTTCATTTTAGCCAGTAAGCATAAAATGCACAAGCTAATTTTAGCTAGTATCCTGAAATATTCGGTTCTCGATAATGTAACAATAAAATGCAAAAACAACAAATGGAAAAAAGACTCACCTTTATTCTAAATACATCATTGAATCCATAAATATATTCTCTTTAAGTTTTTTAATTGTTAACAATCAATGAAATAACGAATAAAAAATATTTTCAAAAAATATAACAACTGTCAAAAAAGGATTTCCAAAATGGCGTCTTGAATTCTCGATAACTCGAGATAAATCTCAAAACGAGGCTGTATTAAGTATGGTGGCCCAGTGTTGACATGCTATAAACAACAGTTGCAGTAGAACACTGTATTCTTTCTCACAACACGGACTGGAGAGCAGTATTTAAGGTGAACCCAATGGGAACAAGTAGCTTATCACACTGTGCCCAGTGGGTGAATTCTATTGCACCATGGGAATGCTTGTCTACATAATATTGATGACATTGGCAACACTTATCTTCATCAGGTATTTCTGATTCATTTTCACTATCAGAGAGGTCTGATTTTTCAGAAAGTTCAATGTTTTGTTTGGATGGACCAGGCTTTTGTTTATCATTTATTTGAAGATTGAAGGTGGTGGCTGAATTCTTTTTGTTCTTAGGAGTTTTAGTTTTTTTCTTTTTAGGATCATTTGAACTAATTTTACTGTTACTTTCATCAATGTATTTTTTCATTTTTTTCTACAGTTTCACCTTCCAATGCTTTTCCACCAACAATACTATTAATGCTTTTACGTTTTTTCTTCATGATTTTTATATGTACATCACCACCTTTCTTATCAAAAAAGTTATTTTCTGCTGTTTCAGATTTTTTGTGATCTCCTGATGCTGTCACTTCATCATCAACTATGTAAAGTTCAGATGGTTTGATTTTACTTTTTTAAAAGTTCAACCATAGAGGACGAGTTCTTGAATGGATAAATGCCTGCCTTATTGAAAGAAGCTTGTAAATTAAAAGGACTTAGAGCAAATGAGTACGCCTTGCAAGCACGTGAGCAGACATCATAACGAGTGACAACTCTGTGATGTTTCTAGCAAATTTAGAACATTCTTGAGCATATTTCAGTTGCAGGGGACCAAAACATCCAATGTCCATAGGCTGGAGGATATGAGAGGTGTGTGGTGGCAAGACAAACAGAACAATATTTTGCTGTTTAGCCCATTCAACAAGATCTACTGATATGTGACTACGATGACCATCATACAGTATAAGAATTGTGTCATCTGATCTTCCCTGGCAAAACTTCATAAAAATGATTTTGCAAATAATCTTTAAAAAACAACACTATTTGACCAACCACTTGGTGTCATGATACCATCAGCACCTGGACTTTTTCCTTCCAAGAGACCATCTAACATTCGGACACCAGGGAAAAACAAAATATGGAGGGATTTGCATTCCAGCTGCATTGCCAGCCCCTATTATAGTGACAGTTTTACCACGCTCAGACATGATAACTTGTGCCTTACAATCTTTTCCACTAACAACACTAGGGGGTTTATATTCAGTATTTATTCCCTTTTCATCAATGTTATAGATAAGGTGCGGTTTGTCAAATAAATCATATTACGTAAAATTCTTTCAAGTTCATTAAAGTATTTAGTGACAGATTCTTCACTGGCACATTTAGCACGTTGTTCAGACAGACTGGAAGGACGGACAACATTAAGTTCTGGCCACCTTTTTTATGAAGTTATAAAACCAATTAAGAGTGAATAGCTGATCATCTTTCCTCTTGCCTAAAAGAAACAGCATAATCAGAGGCTAAATTGACTACTTCAGCCCTCGGTGTAACCATATCCAACAGAAGCAAGATCTTTTAAGTGTTCACACAATTTAGCTTCTTCATCTAAAGAAAGCACAGGGCAGGGTCCTGATTTGACACAATCAATTGATATTCTATTATCAACCCGGTCTCTCAAAGTAGTAAGAGGAACTCCATTTAGCTTTGCAGCTCTATATACTGGAATTCCTTCATCTTTCACCATTTTATAAGCTGATGTCATAGCATTTGGTGACCATAGCCGTAGTCTTGACCTATCTGCAGGTTGAGTAAGCTGAAATGAACCAGAATAAACAATCTTTTAATGCATATTTTGGCTTATTTTGAATACCACATATATTAAAACATGAATAAATAACAAAAATGTGTTCATTTCTTTATTTGATGGTCTTAACATCAACTTAGATTCAATACAGATTATGTCCAGTCTGTATTTAACTATTGCAATTAATAAGATCTATGGCCTGATTTTGCTTCCGTATTTTATTTTTTTGACAGGTGCTAGTGACGTATCAACTTTGGTCTATTTTTAAACTAATGTTGATTTGCTTGCGTCATCCATCGGCTGCTGTCAGAGGCTTGCAGATAAATTAAAAATGGAGGATTGAATAAAACAGAAAAAAAAGCATTAGTGAAAACTGTATAAAATTGATGATTTGTAAATAAAAGAGTAAGCTTTACCTTTATCCTGAACATTTTTACCGTGAAAACAGTTTTTATTGAAGCAGCTGAATACACAGTGTTGACTTTGAGGTTTCCTTGTCAAATGACGTCAAACTCGTGAAAAAAAACACGCGATTATTTATTCTATCGGGAATTCCATTATATCGAGAACTGAATATCTGAGGATAGTAAATATTGCTAAATTCGAACCCTGCGCCCTGTCCTAAAATATGGTCCCCCGTCCAAACATACGGTCCGCCCTGTCTGTAGGGCCGAGTTGAATGGATATTTAAATGGAAAGAAAAGATATTAAGGCAAATGATATGTCAAAACCAATAAAAGTTAAAACAGTTTTAAGTTGCCTAAGTCTATATAGTGCAGACAACCAATTACCCCAAAACTTTCATAATTTTGACAGCTTTCCCGTTTAAAAATTTTAAAAAACCAATACGAAAAGGATACCCTAACATTTCGAGAAAAAAAACGTTGTCAAATTTTTTGGGGGGTTCGAACTTTTTAAGTACGAATCCCTAAAGTTTTCATTATCATTTGCCTTTTAAAAAAAGGGACAGCAATGACGGTTTTAGTGTATAACAACCGAATAAAAAATTTAACCTGGGGGGTTTAAAAAATATAAAAATTTTGCACGTTCCTCAAACATTTATCTCTTAAAAAATTTTTGCTATTTAAAATTTATTTTTTTTTTTAAAAAAACGGTGGAAAAAATCTGCGCAGGGGGCCAAAAGCTGGTTTCCCCATATTTTTTTCACATTTCTACGCTTTGGGGGAAACTATTTTTATACAAACCCACTAAATTTTTTTCCGAATTTCTTTGACGCGTAAACCCTATGCACGTGCGTTATAATAAAGAAACAAAATTTGCACAAAAAAGACGTTTTTTGTTTTAAAAAATTCAAATTTAAATTTAAAATTTTCATAAGTTTTTTCATAAAAATACTTTTTAAAGCGTTAAACAAAAAGTGAAAAATTGATCAGAAGAAAAAGGCCCGGTTTGACTAAATTGGGGACGAGGGGACTTTTTTGAGGGAGTTACCACGAGTAAGCGTTTGACCACGGACGATTTTATGGGTTTGGGAAATTAAACCCTTTTTAAAACCAAGAAATAAAATTTGACCCCCTTTTAGATCAAATTTAGTTTATAACACCAAAATTTTTGAATACAACATAACCAAAAGCTTGAGTACCCATTGATTATACCCCCGGGGCCGACAATCGGGGATATTGTTTTGGCGTTGTCCGTCCGTCCTTCCGTCCGTCCGAATTTCGTTTCCGGACTAGTTCTCTGCAACTACTGGCTGGAATTCAACGAAACTTTATGGGAATCATCAATATCAAGAGGAGATGCGCATATCGTCAGCTTGTTCCGGTCAGACCCTTTAACTCTGAGTTATGGCCCTTGATTAGTTATGCTGTAAGCATATAGAGTAAAAATCGTTTCCGCGCTACTTCTCTGCTACTACTGGCTGGAATTCAACGAAACTTTATGGGAACCTTCAATACCAAGAGGAGATACGCATATCGTCGCCTTGTTCCGGTCAGACACTTTAACTCAGAGTTATGGCCCTTGATTAGTTATGCAGTATGCATATAGAGTAAAAATCGTTTCCGAACTACTTTTCTGCAACTACTGGCTGGAATTCAACAAAACTTTATGGGAACCTTCAATACCAAGAGGAGATGCGCATATCATCAGCTTGTTCCGGTCAGACACTTTAACTCAGAGTTATGGCCCTTGATTAGTTATGCAGTATGCATATAGAACATATAATATTCGTTTCCGCACTACTTCTCTGCAACTACTGGCTGGAATTCAATGAAACTTTATGGAACCTTAAATACCAAGAGGAGATGCGTATATCATCAGCTTGTTCCGGTCAGACACTTTAACTTAGAGTTATGGCCCTTATTTATTTATGCAGTATGCAACCAGAGCAATAATCGTTTCCGTGCTACTTCTCTGTAACTACTGGCTGGAATTCAACGAAACTTTATGGGAACCTTCAATACTAAGAGGAGATGTGCATATAGTCACCTTGTTTCGGTCAGACACTTTAACTCAGAGTTTTGGCCCATGATTAGTTATGTAGTATGCATATAGAGCAATATTGCTATTTCTTTGCAACTGCTGTATTGATTTCAACAAAACTTTATGGCAGCCATGGATACACAAAGGCAATTTGCATCTCATTGGCATGTCCAGATATTACTATCTAACACAGAGTTATGGCTCTGTTATTGCCCTGAATATTTATCAAGTACAAAGAATATTACTGTTTATGCCATGATAAATATATAAATAAAGCTTATAAATAAAACTATAATTATGTCTTCAGTTGTTGTGTTAGTAATAACCAGTACTCGGCGGGGGATATAAATTCAACGAATTTGCTTGTTTGTACAGATCTAGTCAAGTAGGTAAATAAGACATGTGTCAGTTGAATGAGATTTTCGATATCCAGACTGGTGTTCGTAAATGAAATTATTTGTATGAAATTAAAATGCCTCCAATTGTACATGTACGGCCCGTTCTAGTATCTTAATTAAATACAATACATAAAATACTAACTGGTCTGTATTCCCCGACATTAAGTTTAATTACTTCTCTTTTTATGCAAAGATATAACCCTAGTCTGAGACACTCGTTCCTTACAATAGCAGAGAATGTGATCTAAAAGGCAAGAACCCGTACCACTAATTCGTGTCAGTGTTTTGATAATTTGCTGAAGATTATATAAACTCAAAATGCTGCAATATTCTCTGAATAAAACATATTTTTTTCTCAAAAAAGGATATATTCATAAATTATCTTCTAGTATGTTTATTTAATTTTCAAATGAAAGTTTAGATAAAATTGATTCTAAATAATAATTGAAATCGGTTTAATTGTTAATTAATGTTCCAACAACAATAGGTTTATTCCTGGACAAAAGTATCTCAACAAATAAACATTCATTTGTGACGTTTGACAAATCATGCGTTATATTGAAAAAATATCATTTCTAATGTCCATGTACATACCCCACCTCCATTTCTATTACGTTCATTTCTTAGTACAGTATAATTTTAAATGTTAATTTCACACAAAAAGCGGGTATATCACGTAACAAAAAATTATCAACAAGACATTTTTAAAACAATTTTTGAATATTATCAGAAACATATTTTTTTGTAATTTGTTGAAATTAACCATCATTTTAAAACGTTTTA